AGTTTCTCAGTGCCAGGGTCTTTATGTTAGAGAAGCAGTCTTAACCCTCTGATCCGATCAGACAATAATGTTAGTGGTGTATGAAGAGGTGAGGATGGACTCCCTCTGCTCTCCTGTCTTACCTGGACTATGCAAGGCAGGAAGAGTTCAATTTCATACCCTGCCCATTATAAGTAAAGGCAGAAGAACATTCAATACCAGAAAAAGATGACCTGACCCACACTGTTCAAATTTCAAGGCTGATACTACTTCTCTGGCAGGCAGGGGACAAGACAGACCATTAACAAGCTGATCACATCTGCAGCAAAGGTGGGGGCTGTTGGACAAAGGTCCCAGGGCAGCAAATGAGAAAAAATATTCCAAGTAGTTGGGACTAAAAGACATTTACAATTGGGGTAAAATCACTTATTTGAAACAAATTACAAAAAAATGAAGACTGGTTCACCCCACAAGTTTGGAGATCATCTTCCCAGCCTTTTCTCATCCCAAGGAGTTGTGTTTATAAAGACCTACAAGGAGAATGCACTTCTAGAGTATGGGGCCTTTATGCTGTGATGCCCCAAACCATTCTAGCCTCATCCAAGCTACCTCTGAAGCCTTCAGGGAAGACGATCTATGTCCCAGAGGCAGAGTCTAAACAGCTCATTCAGGACTAACCTGACACTGTTATTCACTTTTTACTAAGCAATGCAAAACTGAACTCTCCCTCCAGCACCACCATTACCTGACATGGCAAATGGAGGGAGCAGCTAGTTTATTTGCTCGTTCACTGCTCTGAAGCTTTGTCCTTAATTCATTCATCTCTGCATCTTTAAACTGGAGTTCAGACTGCAGTGACTGGAGCTGGAAGGCAAAAGTAGCATACTTGTAGTGGCCCCATCACATATACAGAAACATCTCCGGGCTTCAAAATCTAGAGCTAGTAAAGGAAAAACAATGAGAAACGGTATCTAGAAGTTTACCATGACATAAATGTCCTGAAGTATCAAGCTCTACCCTTCTTCTGGAAAGACAGCATGGTATTCTAGAAAGATATTTTAACCTGAACTATTGCAAGTTATTTTTTTGAGGGTTCGAACACCATTTACTCAGCCTCTCTGAACTTCAGCTTATCTGTAATAAATACCTGTCTTGATGGTTGGGGGAATTAAGTAAGAATGATGACAAGGTGCCATAACTCATAGTAATATGTTGACCTTTTAGTGAACGTAATGGTGCACAATCCAGGTCTTTCTGAAAGTCTGAGTCGAGTGTTTGGAAGAGTTTTACCAAAACCCTGTGCAGTGTGGGGAGACCTGCTGCTCTGGTCTGTGGGGCCCACAGCCAACAGTAACTACTGTGATTGCTCGAGCACATCTGTGCCAGGCACAGCACCAGACACCAGTGCAGGACCATTTAAGTGGTTAACAACAACCCTTCTGGTTACTTTCTGGAACAGATAAGGGAAATGAGTCAGAGATCATAAGTCATTACCCTGAGGTCACCGCTTGAATGTGATAAAGGCTAGATTCAAACTCTGGTTTGTTTAACTGTAAATCCTTTGTTCTTCATCATGTATATGGAAAGGCAGCTAAACTTTGCTGAGTTTGCTGAATGAAGTAATGGCAGAATAAGGCCCTGTGTCCTCGAGATTGAAGTCTCAGGAAGTGCTGAAGTAAAGTGGTCTATACTGGACATCTAGTTTTCCTCCCCAGAACAGTATCTCCTTCCCCTAAGAAACATCATTTCCCTGCCTCTGAATGTGTGATTTGAATGGGAGCTGTTGTTTTTCTGGTTACAGTGACTAGTTCAGGCACAGGCCTCTGACTCAGGTTGGACCAATTAAAGCCTTCCCCAGAATCTTAAAACTTTAGCTGAGGAACCTCAAGTCTTCAGTCTGTTTTGGAGCTATGAAATGTGAGTCCTGGAGCTTCCAGAGAACACATCTTCTACCATAAGGATGAAGCCTGTCTACAGTACAGAGAATAAAGACAAGTCCTGGCAAATCTTGAGTCATTCAATACTCCAGCACACTGTCTTCCCCAGACTTAGTTATGGAAGCCAATATATTTCCTTTTGGCCCAAGCTAGGTCAACTGTGTTTCTGATCTGCCTCCCTACACTGCCCCCACCACCAAAGGCCCTAATTTACACCTGTTTCTGGAAAGTCTAAGCTAGTGATTTAGACTACCACAGCAAAGCAGAGTTTCACCTAAGTCCTTTTCCAAACCACGTGCACAGTCTGAAAGAAAAGTATATGCAATTAGTTGATTAGCAGGAAGTATTTAAGACAAACAACTGTTGAAATCTTCCTGGGAGATTTACAAGCAACCTTAGTCATTGCTTCTAAAGGAACTCAGTGAGCAGGCAAAGTTGATGTCCAGATAAGCAAAACAAGTGCTCTGGGTCACCTTTTTGGAGAATTCCTTTTCTTTGTCACTGAGTGCTTGAGTTTTCTCTTGCTCAAGAAGGAAATGTGATCTTCTCTGTTCCTCTAGGATGGATTCTGTCTGATGCAGGGAGTCCCGCAAAATTTTAATTTCTCCATTTTTAATGAGGACTTCATCTTCCATTGCTTTCATCTATAAATCCCAAATTGATCTTGTGAAAAGTTTATAAGGGAAAACTATATATGTACTTGTTTCAACATAGAGCTGGGGAGATGGAGAAAGCACATTTAAAATATGTCCTAGAGACCAATGAGTACTCAAAATATACCTGTAACAACCAGACATCACAATGATCTGCTAGGCCTATTCCTGGGACAGCTGATACTCAGCAATATAGCTTTAGGATACCACTTGTCCACACATGCATGCAGATCCTGTAGGCTCTAATAGGTATTTAAAAATCTGGGTTGCACACTTCACAAAACTAAAATTCCACATTACGTTCTTGGTTTTTCTAGGGACTTATAAATGAAAGATGAAAGATGTCTGCTTTTTTGCAAAACTGTTAATGAAAATAGCAACCATTATGATGCAGTGTTTCTTATATAAGACATATGCTATAAGTTGAACAGAAAATTTGTATCTTTTTGGATTAGGTATACAGTGTTTCCTTTCTTGCTCTGGCTGTTAGGAATCTCAGGACAGTTTCTTTCAACCACAATTTTCTGGCTCCCTCCTCCCCCAACTTGCCCTCATTTCATGGGGATGAATCTGGAGTCTTATTTTAAAGCTTTTATATATTTTATTGTATAATGCTTTATAACACATGCGTAAGTGAATGCATTAACTACAAAAACCATAAGTTAAATCACTTACCTTTTCTTTAAGTTCTTTGTATTGTGCCTGAAGTACCTCTAATTCAAAATGATCTTTAACTGGAACACTTTCTCTGTTTTTCCCTGCAGGATTTTTCGACATCCCATCTAATCTGGGGACCTTATGAACATCTGTAAAAAACAGTTCCCATATACTGTTCAGGACCCAACATTTCCCCACTTTTGCCAGACAGTGCTGAAAGGAATCACTCTTGAAAGCAAATTAGAGAAAGATCTAGTATGCAATATAGGCATTTTCCAACATAAGAACATGATTCAAACTCATAAATGATTTTTATAAAATAACAGATCCTGCCACCCTCTCCACATTCCCCACCCAATTTTAAGAGTCTCATCTAAAGGCAGAGAGGTGCTATGGGGATCTGACTGGTCAGAACTCAGTGATCTATTATTCAACAGTATTTACTAAGCACCTATAATATACTAGGCACAGTTTAGCCTCTAAAGAAAGGTACAATGGTGAGCAAAATGGATACAGTCCTTACACTCATGGAGCTTACAGGGCTTCAAAAATAACCACATGAGTAAATGTAAAATTACAACTGTGAAAAGAGCTGCAGAGAAAAAGAAATACAGGAAAGCCTATAATAAGGGACTTGAGTGATTGGAAGGCTTCCCTAGGGAAGTGATGACTCAACTGAGAGCTGAAGAACAAGCGGGAATTAACCAGGTAAGTGGGGATGGGGAATGGATGGAAAGAACACTCAAGGTATAAGAAATGGCAATGTGCAGTTTCTGTGTCATAAGGAAGCAGAGAGAATTCAAGGCCAGAAGGAGAGTCAGTGTGGCTAGAACCCGGAGAGGGAAAGGGGCAGACCATGCTGAGCCTTGCAGGCCATATTAAGGATTTTGATCTTTACACCAGGAGCAGTGGGAAGTCATTAAAGGACTTTTAGTGGGGGTGTTCACATGCATCTGTGTGTGACATAGACAGATTTGAGTTTTGATAAGATTGCTCTGGCTGTGGTATGAAGTCTGACTTGTAGGGAGTCAAAACTGGAAATGAGAATACAATTTAGCAGACTATTGTCCAGGGAGGGGTAATAGTAACGTAGATCAGGGAGATGGCAGAGATGATGCAGAGGGGATGGATTCCAGAGATGGATTAAGAAGGTAAAGTTACAGGATTTGGAAAGGAATTAGATACATGGTCAAGGAAAGGGAGCTGTTGCCTTGTGGTACACAATGGAGAGTGCTCCTAGTCAGTCATGCAGAACATCTGGTCATCAATCAGGGTTTTCTGAATGTCTGCTTTGCCATGCACCATGCTGGAGATGCTGGCAGATGACTGGATTTCCAGGAAATGATGGTGTGGAATTTAAGATCTGAGACATCCAGGTAGAGATTCAAGGTGCCCTCAAAACCCTTCTCTTTTTGGGAGCCCCACAAGACTTCACTCATTCCCTAAGGTAGAATGTAAGCTCCATGAAGAAAGGGGCTTTTGTCTTTTGTTCACTGCTAAACATGCTGCAGCTTCTAAGGTTTGGGCACCTAGTATAATTTATTGGTTGTATGAAAGAATAAGTCTCTTTTACCTCTTCTGCCAGGCTCCTCTTATGCTCATGTGGTCCAAGGGAAAAGGTAGTCTTCACTAGACCTAAAGCCTCTCATACCTGCCCTAAGAATGGGTCCCATGTGTAGGTAGTGATGGTTCTGAAGGCGGTTGTAGTCGTGTTCCAAGGATCTCTGCTTAGAACTAAGAATCCAGTGGCTCAGACTTATAGAAACTAAGGTAAAATGTTAACCTAGTTTCCTATATTCCAAATCGAAATTTCTGATATTCTGTTTGATATTTCTGATACATTTCTCCCCCAAATCAAAGGGCCTTTTGGGACACAACCGCTGCTTAAATCAAGCTGTTCCCTGTACTTTTAAAAGGTGAAGGGGCAGTGTGGGTGCATGACACCGGGACAGCGGTCACCGTGGGGTTCCGAAGCCACGGCCACCAAGGGAGATCTGGCTAGTTCTACACCACCCTCAGGGGAAAAGGCCCCGAGGCGCACTCACTGGACACGTCCCGAGCCGCGGCCGGGCATTGGCTCAAGGCCTGTGACGCGAGGGTGTCGAGCTCCTCCAGGTCGTCGGCGGTGAAATCCCCGTGCGCGCCAAAGGGGTCTTCGGGGTCCGGGGCGGCGACCGTGGGGAAGCCCCGGGCCCGCTTGCTTGGGGGATGCCCGGTGCTGGGCGCCGGGTCTGAGCAAGGTACTGTGGGACCGCTCCGCCTCCTGCTGCCCAGCGCCGGCATTCCAGCCATGCCGGCCGCCCGCCAGCCTCCGAAGGCTCGGAGTCCGGCCTGCAGCTGTGGGTACGGAAGGCTGGACCAACCGCCCGCGCGCCGCCGCTCGCCTCAGCCGCTAGGGCCGCGCCCCCGAGTCAATCGGCCAATTAGCCGCCAGCCGGCAGGCGCGGAAGAATGACATCATCTGAGCGCGCCGCCGTGCTCAACTAAGCGCTTGCCAGCTCGGTTGCGCTCCGCCCCTATGGGCAGCGCTCCACCTGTCCCTGAGTTGCTGGTAGCTGGGACTCAGCGGGTCAGACGGGGGCTTTGTGCGGAACGAGCCGAGTTACCTGGGGTGCGGGTCCGAGGCTCACCAGCCCCACTGCCAGCTCTGCGCCGGCTCCTCGGCATCCAGTAGGATACACAGAGGCGCTGGAGGAGTTCCCCTTGACATTCATACGTACATACGTGAATCGAGGCAGGCAGCATTCAGGGAGTGGGTCTGCGTGAACTTGCTGTCTTCCTCCAGCCAGACCCACTTCTTACATACCCCGAGGCACTCTTGGGGAGGAGTCTGGGAGACTGAGGTTAGACGAGGAGTATGAATAGAGCTGTTGTGAGCACACATCTTTGAGAACAGTAAATATTTTGAATATGTACATTTGAGGTAGGTCTGGGGAAGAAAGGTCTGGGAAGGGGTGATTCTGAGAAGGGTGTGTCTGTGTTGAAGGGGGTGGCACTAGCCTAGCTGTTCAGGCTGTTAATATTCATTAATTCATTCTCCCGAGAACCCTTGGTGGTTTTTGTCCCAAGCACTCGTTGAGTGGGAGTTATCAAGAGTTAACAAGGAGGATGGCACACAAGACTAATCAGACGAGAATACAACACCAACATAGAGGCCACCCAAGTGCCAGGTAGGATTTATCTATGGCAAAAAGAGAAGGTAAGGCTATAGAGAGGAGCAGGGATTCAAGCTGGGCTTGAGGGTTTTATTGGGCAGTAGTGATGTGCAGAACAGTTAGCAGGAACACGGGGTTGGAGAGTAACTGGGGCAAGACTTTTTATCCTTGCATGCTCAGTGTCAAACTTAGCCTGTGACTGTCCTATGAATGTTTGTGAAAGCAGTTAATGAAAGGAAGACGGTTGTCAGGGCCTACAGGGTCTTGAATATCTGGCTTCAGTTTTTTCAGGTAACTAGTAGGTTCCCTCAGCCACCCAAATGTTGAATGCTTAAGTCTTAATCGCTGCAGATTTCTAGTCCTGTAAAGAGACAGGATTGTACTTCATTTGTCAGTATGGATAAGGTTCCACCAAATATGAGAGCAGTAGTTTAATCTTAGGGGCAGTGTGCTGGCACTGGCTCTCTGAAGGATTGTTCTCAGCAGCACAGGGATGGGTGCCAGCTGGCAAGGCCCCACAGGGAATGCCTGAAGTCCAAAGAAGATGCTGCTGGCTGTGCAACTTTCTGGAAAAGGACCAAAGCAGGATGTTTTTCTTTTTCTATTAATATAAACCACATTTTCACAATATCAAACCTTTTCCAGTTTTGACTTAGCAAAATCTCAGTCCTATAGCCCTTTTTGAAAACACACTCTCAGATAAAGCTTAGTATTATTAGCATTATTCCCATAGTGTATCAAGGGCCTAGAAAATCCAGACTAGTGCCTCTACATTGTTTTGATACACATGCATCTAGCACACATGGTCTCTATCTTCCAGGAATTTACTCCTCCTGGAGTCAAGGGCGGTAGATAGTCAACAAATGTCAAGAGAAAAAAATAAAGACACTGGGACTGCCACTATGGTCAGGAAAGAGCTCACTGAGACATTTCAGTACTCTAAAATAGGGGGGTCTCCAGTATCCAGAAGAGTGGCAGACCAAAAGAGTTAGTGAAAACAGTGAGGCAGGAGCTTGCCTGGAATGTAGGCCACTGTGGCTCAAGATGGACCAGGGGGCTGAATAGGAGAAACCAGAGGGTAGGAAATGGCATCTAGATCCCTTAGGGCCTCACTCATCATTGTAGGGACCCTGGTTTTGCCTAAGAAACCGCTGAAGAATTCTGAGCCAAGGCGAGGCAAAGTATGACTTTATGGTTTAGCAGGATCACTCTGGGTCCTGAGTAAAGCCTAGACTTTATGGGAGCAAGAGTAGGGGCAGGAAGACAAATCTGGATGTGACCGCAGTAATTCAGGTGAGGGTTTTAGGGTTAGAATGAGGGATGGGGTGGTGGTATTAGAGTTAAGTATGAAGGGTCCAGATTTGTTGATGGGTTGAATGTGGGGTAGGAGACATGGGAACCTAAAGGAACTTTCTGAAGCCTAGTGGAAATGCAGACCTGGAGGCTTCAGAGTAAGCTTAGCTGTTAAAGAGACTTTTAGAAATGTCTCCTTCCTCCAGTTCTCTTCCCTTCATAATATGCATCACATGCATTTGTCCTGCTCCCCTCCAAAAACAGAGAAGTTCCTTGACAAGAGGAACTGTTCACTAGTACACGACCAGCCTGCACACAGCAGACTCCTCACATCAACAACTCCATTAAAACAAATGGCAACGTGGATGTCATTAACAGAAAGATGGGTTTTCTTCCCAAAGTACAAATTCTTCCACTAACCCCTCGTAATATGTACTGCCGGGTATACAACCACGCAAAAAACGATGGCCATTTCAAACGAGTTGGTTTAATTCCAGGTGGTACAGAATTCAGGATGGAACAAAGACTTAAGAACACATTTTGACAGGATTCTGGGCTGGGTTTATGCTGATTTCACAGCCAAGGTAGAAATGATTGAGATGGACTAAAGA